CTTAGAGACTTGTGCAGGTCTAGCCTTCGACTTCCAGTCTGACATGCAATGGGCACGTGACAATGATTGACATCAAATTGGCATGTAAAGCACAAATGAATGAACACATCCCAGTATTAATCAAATTGTTTCACTGGCAAGTAGTAAGGCGTTATAAATAATATCTATACGAAATTTGGTGATAGGACATTTTTGCGCGAAATAGGCATTCCAGCGGAAACCGATTGTCATCCCATCCTCAGTGATCTGATCGATTTATTCATGCAGTTTCATCGGGATTGGTAAAGGCAAAGAAATTCGGGCAAGACATTTATCAGTATCGATGATCTGCTAAACGTTCAGTTCACTAAATCCATTCCACTTCATGAACTAGAAATATAAGAGACAGTAGAACTGCGTCCTCGGTTTAATATTTAAACAATATTCAGTCTACATTTCACATCCTTTGAAATACAATGAAGCATGTTCTTTCAAACACGTGTACAATACTATCTGCGAGAAGCCCTGGTTTTGATGTTTCCACTCTTGTTACAAGTGGACAAAATGAGCAAAGTGCTGCAACTGTTCCACTAGTGTATCTACCCCTCCTGGCGACCACGTGTAATATCGCTAGATTCAGATTAAATCCAACGCGATCTCGTATTTTTCTTCTCGTGTCAAACCAAACTGGACAATTGTTGTCACGTTCTTGAACGGAACTAAGCTAATTTGAAGCCGACATGACAGCACGAACGTCACAGACATTGCCCGACCATGGCATCTGGTCAGGGCAAAATGACTTCCCTTCCTGTAATAGGTTGATTTGAGCCATACTTCCCCTCCCGCCTGGTCGCCTGTCAAGAATGCGATAGTGGTTAACAAAACAAATAACCCGAATAAGTTCCAGCATAATGAACAAAAATACCCCCTGTTGTGTGATAGGAAACGATAATAATTTCGTTTTGATAATTACGCCGTTTGTAAACAATGCAGGTAATGTCCTACGATGGCGGTGACAGAATATACTCAGTGTGTAATATGCTGTAAACGGAAAGAAGTGACACGATAGCTATGCTGTAAACGGAACACACACACACACACAGTCACACGATACACTGTTCACATACACACACACACACACACACACACACACACACACACACACACACACACACACACACACACACACACACAGAGAGTGAGAGAGAGAGTTTATACAGCCTAAAAAACCTTTGTTAATCAGCAACTAATTCGTGCGATGTGGACAGATTTGGATGATTTTACAGGCGCTTTAGTTATTTTGTCTCGACTGTCTCGTTACTGTTGCTCTTTGTTCTACACTATCATGTGTTGTGCACTATCATGTGTTCTACACTATCATTTGTTGTGCACTATCATGTGTTCTACACTATCATGTGTTGTGCACTATCATGAACTGCGTCAAGTGACCTGGAAATACTGGTTTTAGGAAACAATGGAGGATAATGGAGCAACGCTCCATGCTGTAGACTGAGTGCGAGTGCAGTAGCAGTTCAGCAGTGTATAAAATTCACGATAACCACGTGTTCAGTTAAAAAACAAAGTTGTCATTTCCTCTCTACGGACAGTCCAAGTCACTAGCCCTCTTTGCTACACCCCAGGTCATCTTCAGCCCCATCCTAGGTCGCCTCTAGCCCCTTATTTACACCCAAATCCCATACTCGTACCCTCTCGTCATCCCCTACCCCACCACCACACACACCTTCAGCTCCATCCCCGATCACCTCGTACGCCCTCTCTATCACCCCCTACACACACACACACACACACACACACACACACACACACACACACACACACACACACACACACACACACACACACACACACACACACACACACACACACACACACACACACAACTACATGTACCATCTCGATGTTGTATAATAAACAAGCCTGTAAGGCTAGCCTCGATGTCCATAGATTATTGAGAACTTATTTGTTATTAAAATTGCTCCTGTTATTGTTATGCTAAATGGATAAGTAATTTGGGGATATATATTTCAGGAATTAGCAAGCATGCTTTCACAAAGTTGCAACGATATAAGATATAACAACATAATACATCCGTAGGGCGCCTGATATTGACCTGAAGTCAAGTGGGAGTGGGTGCACAGTTCATTTTCACCATTTTCACGAGAGTTTCAATGGTCATTTAATAAACTTTCAGGACCTGTCACATGCAAACTTGTCAATAATAAACATGATCAACCAGCTCTATGTTGTAGAATAGGCACCTGTCAACACCTAGGTTCATGTTGTTTTGTAAACACTTCTTAACGAGTTGCTATGTTGTATAATAAGCACCTGTCAACAACTAGGTTCATGTTGTTTTGTAAACACTTCTTAACGAGTTGCTATGTTGTATAATTAAGTCACCTGAACAAACATATCTATATTGCATTAGAGACAACAACCAGCTATATGCTGTATACTAAACATAAAACAGCCGACTCTGTGTTGTGTAATAAACACCCCTGAACAACCAGCTCTACATCGTATAAACAAACCTTTATCAACCAGCTCCATGCTGTAAAATACACTTCAAACAACCTAAACAACCAGCTCTAGGTTGTATAACATCCCTAGAAAACAGTACTATGTGGAGTATGTTGTGTACTAGACATCCCTAAACAACCAGCTCTATGTTATATAACATCCCTAGAAAACAGTACTATGTGGAGTATGTTGTGTACTAGACATCCCTAAACAACCAGCTCTATGTTGTATAACATCCCTAGAAAACAGTACTATGTGGAGTATGTTGTGTACTAGACATCCCTAAACAACCAGCTCTATGTTATATAACATCCCTAGAAAACAGTACTATGTGGAGTATGTTGTGTACTAGACATCCCTAAACAACCAGCTCTATGTTGTATAACATCCCTAGAAAACAGTACTATGTGGAGTATGTTGTGTACTAGACATCCCTAAACAACCAGCTCTGTGTTGTATAACATCCCTAGAAAACAGTACTATGTGGAGTATGTTGTGTACTAGACATCCCTAAACAACCAGCTCTATGTTGTATAACATCCTAGAAAACAGTACTATGTGGAGTATGTTGTGTACTAGACATCCCTAAACAACCAGCTCTATGTTATATAACATCCTAGAAAACAATACTATGTGGGTATGTTGTGTACTAGACATCCCTAAACAACCAGCTCTATGTTATATAACATCCCTAGAAAACAGTACTATGTGGGTATGTTGTGTACTAGACATCCCTAAACAACCAGCTAAACAAACATCCCCAAAACTCTATGTTGTATAACATCCCTAGAAAACAGCTCTGTGTTGTATAACATCCCTAGAAAACAGTACTATGTGGAGTATGTTGTGTACTAGACATCCCTAAACAACCAGCTCTATGTTGTATAACATCCCTAGAAAACAGTACTATGTGGAGTATGTTGTGTACTAGACATCCCTAAACAACCAGCTCTGTTGTATAACATTGTGTTGTATGTTGTGTACTAACATCCTGTTGTATAGAAAACAGTACTATGTGGAGTATGTTGTGTACTAGACATCCCTAAACAACCAGCTCTGTGTTGTATAATAGACATCCCTAGAAAACAGTACTATGTGGAGTATGTTGTGTACTAGACATCCCTAAACAACCAGCCCTGTCTTGTATAATAGACATCCCTAGAAAACAGTACTATGTGGAGTATGTTGTGTACTAGACATCCCTAAACAACCATCTCTATGTTGTATAACATCCCTAGAAAACAGTACTATGTGGAGTATGTTGTGTACTAGACATCCCTAAACAACCATTATGTTATCATTTTCATGTAATACTAATGCTGTATCTTTAATTATGACGACGAATTGGTAAAAGCTTGCATCGTATATGTTGGAGATTTGCTTGATGAAAGTGGACGGTTAAGAACTAGACTAGAGTTACAGCAGATACATAATTTGAATATAAACAATAGATATTTTAATAATATCAAAAGAGCTGTTCAAAGGGCAATAGGGAGCAATATGTTTTATAAATATAGCAACAAAAATATTGAGTTTTTGTTAAACACACCTCCAAAGTTACAGGGAAAGATTATGAATGATAAGATGAAGTCTAGGCACTTTGATTCAATGATTGTGGATAACAAAGCCACCTTACCATATACATTTAATGATTCATCACATTCTAGCAAATTGTATGGTCTTCTTGCGACCCTCCCTTTATCCAATAAGTTAAAAGAAAGAAATGGTTGTTTAAACTCCACTTAAGTGAATCACCAGATTGTGATGACTGTAAAACTTTGGTGGATGTTTCCCACTATTTATAAAAATGTAAACATGTTACTTCAATGATTAATGATGATGTAAAGTTTCTAATTATTCACAGCAACTATTTTCTGTGGAAACACTCTTTTTCGGTTCAGCAGATTACTTTGACCCAACATTTGAGTTTTTAAATATGCATTTAAAATAGTTAATGTATACGTCTAACTATACCGATATCAAAGCTTCTAAGAAGCATTTCCTTAGAGATTTGAAATATGCTCTGAAAATATATAAATATTCAAAGGAAAAGTTGAAGTATCTAGAAAGACTAATGTTAGATTTGCAATAGAAATTATAAAGTGGACTTGTATGGTTTATTTGTAAATCCGTGGTTACCAATGCTGAATAAATAATTATTTAAATTAAAAAAAATGTAAAACCCAATACAAAACTATCTTACATCGTCCGTGTACGATGTCATGTACATTCGTGACGTTCCCTACATCCCAGATGCATGACGCAACTGTCTAGGATAGACTAAGCTGACACTAGCGGGACGTGTCCGCAGACAGGTTAAACCTGTCAGATGCAAGTCTTCACTGATATTTCAAGCGCTGCTTGTGTCATCATTGAAACCGGTTTGACTTGCGACCATCCCAAACGATTGAGTGTAAAGAAACCGGTTTCGGTTCCCTACATACCGGTTTGGCTGATGCAAGCAGCCTTGACCTTTATAGTAGGAAGTAGAAGCAGTACATGTAGTAACGCACAGTTTATTCGCAGCCAGGTCTCCGTTGATAAGCGATGAAGACAGAAGGCGATCGAACTGCGAGGATTTGGGTTACACACGAGAATTATAGAGGTTAGTGTGGGAATTGTGTCTATGTGGTTGTGTGTATCCCTCTCTCTCTCTGGGGAGAGGGAGAGAGAGAGAGAGAGGGGGGGAGTGAATGGTACGATATCACAGATGACTGTCGCATAAATATTTTTTGCTTTTCTTTTGTATTTGAACTGATGCTAATGATGATTACATGATGTTCACGCCACATCTATTATCTTAGGACACACACACACACACACACACACACACACACACACACACACACAGAGAGAGAGAGAGAGAGTAGATTAAACTTAGGCTGTTTAACAGCAAGCATGTCGTGAGGCATTTTGGGCTTTCCATATCAATAACACGCCCTGATATAACAGAAATACTCCTTTTCTCTCATCGATAGATAGTGTAGTTAGATAATAACTATACAAATATAACGGTCATTAACTGAACTGTCCTGTATAGATGACGGTACTAGTTATAGATGACAGTCAGGGTATTCTGTATGCGTGCTGGTTAATGTAGCTACAGAAGGCTAAGCCTACACAGACTGAATGAATAATTGTTTCTGTTCGCCGCATCAGTCATTTTCCATCTGTTAAAGAAAGCCCACACAGTGTCATGTAATACTTTATAATCATCAATACAAACTGAATGCAGTTGTCTTATTTAGCGATATAAGATTTGATGAATGTGAAGTCATCTAGTGTTTGTTGTATTAACAATGGCCTCGGTCAGTGGGTACATGGTTGTGTTATTGGGTTTACCGGGTTTCATATTTTGTACCAACGTGGCAGTTTATATTATAGGTAAAAGCAACGGTAAACCCATCTCACTCACTCACAGTGACTCACTCACCCACCATGGTGGCATTGGAAATATGTCAGCTTCTCACGGGCCAATGAATGCAAAGGTTTATTCATTTCTGTTACACTGTCAAAGTAAAGGCTGTTGAATCTACACTGGCTTACTTTCTAAACTAGGTGCCTTATAGCTACAGTTTTGTGTAAGCTTCCAATGAGCATCACTCTGTTTCACCAGATCAACATATGTCAATACAATGTAGGTTATAGAATTAACGTATCTACATTGACGTTCATACTGTTGAACTGTTCATAACAATAGTGCAGATGTAAGCACACAATGGCCAACCAGTAATTATTCAGGACATTCATATGTGTGATAATGTACCTGAATTACATTACCAATGCGGCTCCATTGATGGTAGTATAGAATTACAATGACTCATATGTTCTCAACGGCTGTGTATAACTGGAATATTGCTGAGTGCGGTGTAAAACTAAAAATTAGTCAGTCAGTCAGTCAGTCACTCACTCACTACTGGTAACCACAGTTGGTAATGACCGGTGTGTTTGGTTTTCAGATTGATCCAGCTATGGAGGAGCCCCGCATGTCAAGTGACACACCAGACTGGCAGTCTGCCACCGACTTCGCCGAGACCAATTTGGCGATGTTGACACGCAAGATTGCTTGTGATGTCATTTTTCGAGTTGGAGTTTATAGGGAGATAATCACGGCGCATAGGTTCATTCTGGTCAGCAGAAGTTCTGTGTTTTTGTCCATGTTTTATGGACCCCTAGCCGAGAAAGATGAGGTTGACATCCCAGAGATTGACACACTGGTGTTTCACAGTTTTCTAAGGTATGATGTCATTTAGCAAAGTAGTATCAAGTGGTGGATAAGAAAAAGGAAGGGCAAGGTGTAAGATGACAATAAACATTGTAAGGGTGGAAGTAACCATTGAAGAGAACCGGGTTTGGAATGTCTTGTGTGTATATGGGTGTTAAAGTGTGGTTCCAAACCCGCTCGGACGGTGGGGTAGCCTAATTGTTAAAGCATTGTCCCGTCAGCCAAAGACCTGGGTTCTATTCCCCATTTGGTACAATGTGTGAAGCCCATTTCTGGCGTTCCCCGCCTTTATATTGCTGTAATATTGCAAAAAGCGGCGTAAAACTAAACTCACTCACTTCATACCCGTTTTAACACTGGTAGTCATTTTTTTCTGAACTGATCTTTCTTGTGACAACGAATAGTAGAGTAATAAAAGTTTACGTTTCACGTTTCATTGTGCTCTGCTTCTCTTGGACTGAATATACCGAGACCAACTGAAGCTGCAACTAATAGTAATATTGTTAATAGGATGACTATTACCAAACGGAGATTTGTAGCATACACTAAGACGGTAAGACGTCACTACCAATCTGTGAATTATACTAGTTTCTGGGACTAAAACTGATATACCGCGAGTTGAACCCAACTCACGTACACTCCGTTCTCTGTAAAATAGAAACGAGGATGTTTTAGACAGTTGCCTCGCAGGATATAGTTTACTACCAATACAGACGATGTTTGTTGTTGACGGCACCAAGTGTTAAGGTGACTGCTTGTCACGCCTGAAACCTAGGTTCGACTCTCAACATTGGTAAAGTGAGTTATTTTCATTCATGGTATCTCTGCTTTGTATGGCTGGAATATAACAGAATAAATCCCCGTAATGCCACATTACTTGACTAGCCTTTTCTAGTCTAAAAACAGTTAATACATATTCGAAGTTTCCTTTACATACATCCCTTCGAAACTCGAGAAGCTATGATCATGGGTAGGATAGTGGTTAGCTCCGATTATGTTTCACGGTTTGTCAACACCATATCCCGGCACGTGGGCTTTTACCAAAGTAGTGAGGATCTTACACCCGCCTTTTCCTCGACTATTTAGCTAACATGCCGCGATATTCCCCAGTAATTTACCCAGTAGGTCTTTTATAAGTCATAGTCCTAAAATCGCTATGATTTTGGATACGTTATAGTGATCCTCGTCATATACATTAAGCTGTAGTATGTTCCAGCATGTCCGTGGTGAGAGTATACACTGCTCTTTTGGCCTTCCAGGTACCTGTACAGTAACTGCGTGGAACTGACCACAGACAACGTTTCTGGGCTGCTGTATGCTGCAAAGAAGTACTCCGTGAAATCTCTTAGTGAGAAATGTGTGAGGTTTTTAGACTCCGCCCTCAATGCAGATAATGCATGTGACATCTTAGAGCATGCGCATGTCTACAGCGAGGAAGGCCTTGCTGAGGCAGCACTGAGGGTCATCACTGTCAACGCATTGGACGTCTTCAAATCTTCAAGTTTTAAAGAAATATCAAGACATTGTCTGAACAGAATATTCAAATCAGACGAGGTGCGAGCAGACGAAATGAGCGTGTTCTGTGCTGTCCTCTGGTGGGCAGGGGCAGAATGCGTGAGGCAGGGAAGGGAGATAACTCCTGAATCAAAATACGATGTGTTACAAGATTCTATCAGCTACGTGCGATTCCCACTCATTGGACTGAAGTCGTTTGAAAAGTGCATTGGGATATTAGATAAAGACTGGCTTAGTCTGCTACGACCGTTCTTTGCCACTAAAATGGACATTGATGACTCTGCCTCTTGTCTGTCAGCGCGGCCTCGTAAACAACCCCCAACCAGAGTAAACCGGTTTCTGACGACAGAAGAATCACTTTCGTGGACATTCAATAGCAAACGGTGTGACGCCATATCATTCTCGTGTGACAGACCGGTAGAACTACTTGGGGTAATGCTATATGGAGCTTTCCCAGGCCGAGACGCAGACGACGTCATATCATATTCTGTCGAATGCAGTGTTGAAGAGGATCTACGACAAGATTATCTATCCCGTACATTTTTCAAAGGCGGTAATGTATTGGATGGATCTAATGTGGAGAAAACAGTTTTGGTTAGTGCCAAAGAATACTACATCGAAGTGCTTTTTGCGAACCCCTGCAACTGTCAAGGATTTGAAGTATACGATTCTACTGAATGTTTGCGGACCTGATTCTAGAAGAGAGGTGCAAGGGCCGCTCTACCTGCGTGGAAGATGATGTCTGTTGGACGTTTTATTCGTCGTCAAAGAGCAAGAACAGTACAGACGTGGAGCACGGACAGATTCCTGGTCTCATCTACTGTTGTCGGTAAAAGACAGTCCGCTACTTACTGCCACCAGCTCACTGTTAACTGTTCATCTGTTACACCATAACGTTATTCTGTTATTAGGAAATCCTAATCACCCAAACAGAATATTCAAATCAGACGAGGTGCGAGCAGACGAAATGAGCGTGTTCTGTGCTGTCCTCTGGTGGGCAGGGGCAGAATGCGTGAGGCAGGGAAGGGAGATAACTCCTGAATCAAAATACGATGTGTTACAAGATTCTATCAGCTACGTGCGATTCCCACTCATTGGACTGAAGTCGTTTGAAAAGTGCATTGGGATATTAGATAAAGACTGGCTTAGTCTGCTACGACCGTTCTTTGCCACTAAAATGGACATTGATGACTCTGCCTCTTGTCTGTCAGCGCGGCCTCGTAAACAACCCCCAACCAGAGTAAACCGGTTTCTGACGACAGAAGAATCACTTTCGTGGACATTCAATAGCAAACGGTGTGACGCCATATCATTCTCGTGTGACAGACCGGTAGAACTACTTGGGGTAATGCTATATGGAGCTTTCCCAGCCCGAGACGCAGACGACGTCATATCATATTCTGTCGAATGCAGTGTTGAAGAGGATCTACGACAAGATTATCTATCCCGTACATTTTTCAAAGGCGGTAATGTATTGGATGGATCTAATGTGGAGAAAACAGTTTTGGTTAGTGCCAAAGAATACTACATCGAAGTGCTTTTTGCGAACCCCCTGCAACTGTCCAAGGATTTGAAGTATACGATTCTACTGAATGTTTGCGGACCTGATTCTAGAAGAGGGTGCAAGGGCCGCTCTACCTGCGTGGAAGATGATGTCTGTTGGACGTTTTATTCGTCGTCAAAGAGCAAGAACAGTACAGACGTGGAGCACGGACAGATTCCTGGTCTCATCTACTGTTGTCGGTAAAAAGACAGTCCGCTACTTACTGCCACCAGCTCACTGTTAACTGTTCATCTGTTACACCATAACGTTATTCTGTTATTAGGAAATCCTAATCACCCAGCACCCATGTCTCCATAGTTTTATATATCTATGTGCCATCGAAATTGTACCAAATAAAGAAATATTTTAGGCTGTTTCTATAGACATCTTGTTCATCCAAAAAGTTGTATAATACTGCCATTGTGAGATGAATAGTGTAGTAGTTTTGAGTCTAGTGCCTTGCAAATACAAATCCGTGAGTTAGGTTTCAAGTCACTTTGAAGAGTTACGATAAATACCATTTCAATCATATGACGACGTGGAAAGATAGGGCAAAGTTTTATAGTCCGTAAACCGTCAATACTTTCGTAACACATACTGCGATATGTTGACGACGGACTAATAATCTGCTATTGAAACCCTTGATCACAGGATTCTTGCACGCCTAAGGGAGCCCATTCTCCGGACTGAACGGTAGTACCGTTATCCTCTAGGCCTTCCCTGTCTTACAGTAATATGGGAACCAAATAAATTTGTTCTTTTTCATTGCAATGTCGTCTACAAATGCACCCTCCGCTGATATTTACTTTACTTGCTTGATGGTAAATTAACATTTGTAAACACTTCGCATTAAACGAAGCCTCTTGCTATTCCTACCACTACTTTGATGAGACACTTAAATCATGTGGAATTATCAATGGCATATTTATCAACCTGCTGATTAAAATGCATTTTAAACGGATATATTTTCAATATATTCAGTATGTCATTCGAAACATTAGTTAGCACTAGCTGTGATTTAGTATAATTTTTTCCCCTCAAAATTACTTTTTTCTCGACCGGTGCTTGTTTGTTCATTATGTGCTCACCAACAGCAATACTCAGCAATGACTACGTTATATATAACCAGCGAGACAGTATTCAAAGGTTAGTTTTAATCGTTAATAGTTTTAGTGGTGTACTCCCATTTGCGAGAACTCCCAGTTGCGAGACTCCCAGTTGTGAGACAGTGGAGAAGGTAAGGAGCAAAGAAAACACACCTTACTCCCCTATCTGATAGAATGGATTAACCCCAGCTAATTAGGGATTAGCTATTTAACTGAATCTTGTGGAGGTAGCTTAAAAGATGAAGTAATTAACCTACTCAGGTAAATGGCTTTAAAAAATAAACACTTTGTGTAGGTAACTTCGTGATCATTTGAAAGAGAAATTAATTGACCTACTCAGATTTACGTGCTTGAAAAATCTAGCAATAACTGTTGTAACTATAATTAATCCAAATGTATTTATTAACCGGTGACTGCTCTTTCCGATCACCATTATGGCAGGCCTTCAACAAGTAGAATACATCACCAGTTCACGAGGCAGTATTCAGGTGCTCTTTCAGGGTTACCTGTATTACAAGAACAAGCAGCGGCAGACTTGTACCTATTGGAGATGTACGATACGAACGTGCAACGGCAAATGCACTACAGTCGGCGACTATATTCGGAATGTGACTGATCATGACCATCCTCCAGTAGATGTCCAACGCCTCCGTTTTGTGAGCAGCCTGAGAAAGCGAGCACGGGATGAACCAACATCAACTATGCCCAGCATCTACAACGACGAGGTGACACAACTTGATGCAGCGGCTGTTGGAACTCTTCCTGCTTCCCTTCTGTTGAGAGTGCTCTCTATCGACATAGAAGCCACACCACCCCTAAGCTTCCTCAGACCAGAGCCGATGTCAACCTCACTGCTCCATGGACGGACACATGCGACGGCAACAGATTTCTGCTGTTCAGCGATGGTGAAGACGACAAGATGCTCGTGTTCTCAACAGATGAACAGCTGCGAGTGCTTCGATCCGCAACAGTTATCTACATGGACGGTACGTTCACAGCATGTCCCGACCTCTGGAACCAGCTGTACATCCTCCATGTCAGGAAAGGGATAACGACCTTCCCCTTGGTATACGCCCTGCTCCCGATATACGATATACATCATGGTTAATTACCTTTTGATCAAACTAATTAGTTTTTTAAATCGGAAAAAGTAAATACCAAGTCTGGAAGCGGCACGATGGCGCTCAATCCACCAGGTCACAAACAGTAATCAATGTTTCCATGGTAACGTTATATTCACTGTTTAAGAGACATACATGCAGATGGGCCTCATAAATACAAACAGTTCATATTCAATCACACAAGTTTTCACACAAACCACAGTATCGATACAACAGAAGTAGGATGAGTGTCAAATATATGGATCGCCAGCTCAGCAACATGGAACCAACCCACACCGAATTCTAGAAAATATTTAAGGAGAATAATTACCTTTTATGAAGCCATAGATATAATGCAAACATATGAGAAAGAGAAGAATGGCGGGACCATATTTTTGGAAGGCAATCCGCTATGTACGCAGATTTGGGAATGGCTTTGATTTACAAAATGAATAGCTTATCGAGTAACCATTTCAGAAATGAAATGAATTACAATCTGTAGTTTATTATACATATTATAATTCTAGTACCCATAACCGGTTTATTGTGACAAAATTGTTCCTTACACATTAGGGATAGAAAGAAATTGCCAATAAGACTGGATCGAAAATAACACTGGTAATGCTAATCTTTATACACTCCAACCACTTATATGGACATAATTACGTCACGGCTCATTTGTCAGTGTTGCAATCACTTCCGCAATCATTAGCCCGCTCCTACACACATACATTGCATTATACATAATCCCTGAAGGCACAGCAAAACGGAACTAGAATAATTCTTAAAAGGAATTTCAATTAGTGCTGAATTAGAAAATCTACTTGTAATAAATCAATTCCGGGTGTGGACCGAATGCAGGTATATATAAACGTCTTGTTTTGAAGTACTGGCCATCACTGCTTTTGCCTCTCTACACCAGTATTTCCCGTCTAATCAGGACACTCTGTAAGTATGAGATGTTTAGCGTTTTACATAGCTTTTAGCCTGTCCCTATAAAGGCTATACTTCACGTTACTGTTTGATGAGAAGCAGTCCGTATATATTGCTGTTCGGTGATTTCGAACTTTTACTGATCACTATTTGCAATACTGATTGAATCCTCCAAATGTGTTTGATGTTTTACGATCTATGAACTCAAGGTCACATCTAGCAGCATAAGTCTCAGATCAAGTCCCATTTCAACCAACACAGTTAGAAATGTAAAATAACGACGACGAGTAGGTAGAAGTACCGATTTTCTTGAAGGAAAGGTGTAACAAGTGTGAGTAGACGTTGATAATAAATGAAAATGTAAAACTCCTTTTCAGCCTTCCACAATGATGAAAATTATCGCCCTTGTTGCCTGTTTGGCTGTGGCTGCCTTTGCTGAGCCTTTGAGCTATGGCATGACAGGACTCAACGGAAAAGCTGGTCTGTACGGTGGCTACGGAGTGGGGGTCTGTACGGAGGTTATGGAGTGGGAGGTCTATACGGAGGCTACGGAATTGGAGGTCTCTACGGAGGCTACGGAATTGGAGGTCTATACGGAGGCCACGGAATGGGAGGTCTGTACGGAGGATACGGAATTGGAGGTCTCTACGGAGGCCACGGAATGGGAGGACTGTACGGAGGAATTGGAGGTTTCGGAAAAGGTAAATGCGAATATGATTGTGCTGAGAATATTCTTAATCCCCCCAGTATACATTGGTACTTTGACAGATTGTAAGAAAGTAATTTTGTAACCACTTTAATTTGTCATATGTGACATATCCAATCTGTGGGGATGAGGCGATATATATATGAGTACAACTCGTAAGAAATGACATTGTACGGAACTTCTTCTTCTAATAGCTCTTCTTTTTGTTGCAGGTCTTGGATATGGCTACTACTAGGACTGCTGTTCCACTGTCACAATTCATCAATATCATCAATATGCACATTATTTATTGTATGTGGTTTGAAATATGTCACATTAAAACACAATCATCAAAACAAAGTCTTGATTTTCGTATTCATAGTACAGTTGGGCTTTTGTTGCACAAGAAGAAAGTTTGCCATTGATTGAATCACATGGGCACAATGTCATACCAGGAATTAATATGAAAGCCAAACATGTTTGTTACCAAGATGGGAAGAGAGACGAGCATGGGGTAGTATTTTCCTAGAAGCTACCTTTAGTAAGTAGATTACAGAAGTCGCTTAATACCGATTGGTAGTTTTAGAACTGCTGTAATGGCATTTGTTTAATGACACCTCTCCGGAATTACCTTTTCCAATTCATCACATTCATTCATCTTGTTTCATAAATACATTTCAATCATACGAGACTTGTCCTGAATGTACAGCATGTAAAGTGTTCTAAAATATACTTTTTAATAATTCCAGTATAACACAGTTCACACAATAATCACTACAATGGGCTACATAAAGCATAAAACCAATTAAGACTTTATGCACATTAAACTTGATTAAATAAATTGTCTCCCATCACTGTACATTAAGAATACTGTCGGAATTGTTCAATGGATTATATAGCAATAGTAGAGAATGCATTGATTATAGAAATGATTGTATGACCTGTATTTACTTTGGCTCCCTCGTTCTTCACGCCGGACTCGCATGTGGGAAGCAAGATTTTGTTTTCAAATTTCGAAACGGTTTAAATAATTGCATCAGCCAAAGGAAGACAAGATGACTCCAAACCTTCCATACTCATGCTTTGACGCCCTGTGTTCACGGAGCTTGATGAACATCCGTGCCCTTACCCGAAACAGTTGTCATGGATAAAGACGCGTGTCCATGTTTAGTTTATACTGTCATAACACACCCTGTTACAGATGAAGTCCATCAGCAATGCTATTGATGACATTCTGCCAACGTGACAGGCACCTAACTCTATATGCTATCTGTACAATAATGACAATGTACAGTCAAAGCTTTTGCAATATGTCCACATACCACAGTACTGATCCGTACCTACATAGCCACCTGTAGCTTTACCATTCTACACTTACCCTTTTCCCGTGTCCTCCATGAACATACCACTCAATCGCTTTCCATACCTTCAGTTGCATATTCCTCTTTTACAGTATTTATGATATGCGAAGACCATTTAAGAGCTACTATCTCGTTTCCATGTACTGAATGAAATACTTCTTCCTGGACGAAATTCAGTTTACTGTGACATACGAGTGCACCATCTGTGAAAGGCATATTTCATCTACCGATTACACGGCATATGGAGCAGTTAAAATCTCTTCTTGACAAGGAACAATTTCTACAGAGACTTTCAAACTGTGTTTTACTTTAGTGCATCATGGGTGCTTCAATCAAATCTCGAGAAGCACGTACATAATGAGTATTGATGCTAGGTTAATTATGGAATGTATGATGAGAGCTATGCATATTGACATGACAACTCTTTGTCAATTCGTAACCACAGGAGTGTAGACGTGTCTTACGGGGAGAGAGAGAGAGAGAGAGAGAGAGAGAGAGAGAGAGAGAGAGAGAGAGAGAGAGAGAGAGAGAGAGAGAGAGAGAGAGAGAGAGAGAGAGAGAGAGAGAGAGAGAGAGAGAGAGAGAGAGAGAGAGAGAGAGAGAGAGAGAGTTTTCTGTTATATATAAGTCTGTTGTTTGTATGTCAACTGATGCTTGAAAGTGGTTGGGATGGAAGTCAACTAATTATTATCGATACAACAGAAGTAGGATGAGTGTCAAATATATGGATCGCCAGCTCAGCAACATGGAACCAACCCACACCGAATTCTAGAAAATATTTAAGGAGAATAATTACCTTTTATGAAGCCATAGATATAATGCAAACATATGAGAAAGAGAAGAATGGCGGGACCATATTTTTGGAAGGCAATCCGCTATGTACGCAGATTTGGGAATGGCTTTGATTTACAAAATGAATAGCTTATCGAGTAACCATTTCAGAAATGAAATGAATTACAATCTGTAGTTTATTATACATATTATAATTCTAGTACCCATAACCGGTTTATTGTGACAAAATTGTTCCTTACACATTAGGGATAGAAAGAAATTGCCAATAAGACTGGATCGAAAATAACACTGGTAATGCTAATCTTTATACACTCGAACCACTTATATGGACATAATTACGTCACGGCTCATTTGTCAGTGTTGCAATCACTTCCGCAATCATTAGCCCGCTCCTACACACATACATTGCATTATACATAATCCCTGAAGGCACAGCAAAACGGAACTAGAATAATTCTTAAAAGGAATTTCAATTAGTGCTGAATTAGAAAATCTACTTGTAATAAATCAATTCCGGGTGTGGACCGAATGCAGGTGTATATAAACGTCATGTTTTGAAGTACTGGCCATCACTGCTTTTGCCTCTCTACACCAGTATTTCCCGTCTAATCAGGACACTCTGTAAGTATGAGATGTTTAGCGTTTTACATAGCTTTTAGCCTGTCCCTATAAAGGCTATACTTCACGTTACTGTTTGATGAGAAGCAGTCCGTATATATTGCTGTTCGGTGATTTCGAACTTTTACTGATCACTATTTGCAATACTGATTGAATCCTCCAAATGTGTTTGATGTTTTACGATCTATGAACTCAAGGTCACATCTAGCAGCATAAGTCTCAGATCAAGTCCCATTTCAACCAACACAGTTAGAAATGTAAAATAACGACGACGAGTAGGTAGAAGTACCGATTTTCTTGAAGGAAAGGTGTAACAAGTGTGAGTAGACGTTGATAATAAATGAAAATGTAAAACTCCTTTTCAGCCTTCCACAATGATGAAAATTATCGCCCTTGTTGCCTGTTTGGCTGTGGCTGCCTTTGCTGAGCCTTTGAGCTATGGCATGACAGGACTCAACGGAAAAGCTGGTCTGTACGGTGGCTACGGAGTGGGAGGTCTGTACGGAGGTTATGGAGTGGGAGGTCTATACGGAGGCTACGGAATTGGAGGTCTCTACGGAGGCTACGGAATTGGAGGTCTATACGGAGGCCACGGAATGGGAGGTCTGTACGGAGGATACGGAATTGGAGGTCTCTACGGAGGCCACGGAATGGGAGGACTGTACGGAGGAATTGGAGGTTTCGGAAAAGGTAAATGCGAATATGATTGTGCTGAGAATATTCTTAATCCCCCAGTATACATTGGTACTTTGACAGATTGTAAGAAAGTAATTTTGTAACCACTTTAATTTGTCATATGTGACATATCTAATCTGTGGGGATGAGGCGATATATATATGAGTACAACTCGTAAGAAATGACATTGTACGGAACTTCTTCTTCTAATAGCTCTTCTTTTTGTTGCAGGTCTTGGATATGGCTACTACTAGGACTGCTGTTCCACTGTCACAATTCATCAATATCATCAATATGCACATTATTTATTGTATGTGGTTTGAAATATGTCACATTAAAACACAATCATCAAAACAAAGTCTTGATTTTCGTATTCATAGTACAGTTGGGCTTTTGTTGCACAAGAAGAAAGTTTGCCATTGATTGAATCACATGGGCACAATGTCATACCAGGAATTAATATGAAAGCCAAACATGTTTGTTACCAAGATGGGAAGAGAGACGAGCATGGGGTAGTATTTTCCTAGAAGCTACCTTTAGTAAGTAGATTACAGAAGTCGCTTAATACCGATTGGTAGTTTTAGAACTGCTGTAATGGCATTTGTTTAATGACACCTCTCCGGAATTACCTTTTCCAATTCATCACATTCATTCATCTTGTTTCATAAATACATTTCAATCATACGAGACTTGTCCTGAATGTACAGCATGTAAAGTGTTCTAAAATATACTTTTTAATAATTCCAGTATAACACAGTTCACACAATAATCACTACAATGGGCTACATAAAGCATAAAACCAATTAAGACTTTATGCACATTAAACTTGATTAAATAAATTGTCTCCCATCACTGTACATTAAGAATACTGTCGGAATTGTGCAATGGATTATATAGCAATAGTAGAGAATGCATTGATTATAGAAATGATTGTATGACCTGTATTTACTTTGGCTCCCTCGTTCTTCACGCCGGACTCGCATGTGGGAAGCAAGATTTTGTTTTCAAATTTCGAAACGGTTTAAATAATTGCATCAGCCAAAGGAAGACAAGATGACTCCAAACCTTCCATACTCATGCTTTGACGCCCTGTGTTCACGGAGCTTGATGAACATCCGTGCCCTTACCCGAAACAGTTGTCATGGATAAAGACGCGTGTCCATGTTTAGTTTATACTGTCATAACACACCCTGTTACAGATGAAGTCCATCAGCAATGCTATTGATGACATTCTGCCAACGTGACAGGCACCTAACTCTATATGCTATCTGTACAATAATGACAATGTACAGTCAAAGCTTTTGCAATATGTCCACATACCACAGTACTGATCCGTACCTACATAGCCACCTGTAGCTTTACCATTCTACACTTACCCTTTTCCCGTGTCCTCTAAACATACCACTCAATCGCTTTCCATACCTTCAGTTGCATATTCCTCTTTTACAGTATTTATGATATGCGAAGACCATTTAAGAGCTACTATCTCGTTTCCATGTACTGAATGAAATACTTCTTCCTGGACGAAATTCAGTTTACTGTGACATACGAGTGCACCATCTGTGAAAGGCATATTTCATCTACCGATTACACGGCATATGGAGCAGTTAAAATCTCTTCTTGACAAGGAACAATTTCTACAGAGACTTTCAAACTGTGTTTTACTTTAGTGCATCATGGGTGCTTCAATCAAATCTCGAGAAGCACGTACATAATGAGTATTGATGCTAGGTTAATTATGGAATGTATGATGAGAGCTATGCATATTGACATGACAACTCTTTGTCAATTCGTAACCACAGGAGTGTAGACGTGTCTTACGGGGAGAGAGAGAGAGAGAGAGAGAGAGAGAGAGAGAGAGAGAGAGAGAGAGAGAGAGAGAGAGAGAGAGAGAGAGAGAGAGAGAGAGAGAGAGAGAGAGAGAGAGAGAGAGAGAGAGAGAGAGAGAGAAGTAGACGTTGATAATAAATGAAAATGTAAAACTCCTTTTCAGCCTTCCACAATGATGAAAATTATCGCCCTTGTTGCCTGTTTGGCTGTGGCTGCCTTTGCTGAGCCTTTGAGCTATGGCATGACAGGACTCAACGGAAAAGCTGGTCTGTACGGTGGCTACGGAGTGGGAGGTCTGTACGGAGGTTATGGAGTGGGAGGTCTATACGGAGGCTACGGAATTGGAGGTCTCTACGGAGGCTACGGAATTGGAGGTCTATACGGAGGCCACGGAATGGGAGGTCTGTACGGAGGCCACGGAATGGGAGGTCTCTACGGAGGCCACGGAATGGGAGGACTGTACGGAGGAATTGGAGGTTTCGGAAAAGGTAAATGCGAATATGATTGTGCTGAAAATATTCTTAATCCCCCAGTATACATTGGTACTTTGACAGATTGTAAGAAAGTAATTTTGTAACCACTTTAATTTGTCATATGTGACATATCTAATCTGTGGGGATGAGGCGATATATATATGAGTACAACTCGTAAGAAATGACATTGTACGGAACTTCTTCTTCTAATAGCTCTTCTTTTTGTTGCAGGTCTTGGATATGGCTACTACTAGGACTGCTGTTCCACTGTCACAATTCATCTATATCATCAATATGCACATTATTTATTGTATGTGGTTTGAAATATGTCACATTAAAACACAATCATCAAAACAAAGTCTTGATTTTCGTATTCATAGTACAGTTGGGCTTTTGTTGCACAAGAAGAAAGTTTGCCATTGATTGAATCACATGGGCACAATGTCATACCAGGAATTAATACGAAAGCCAAACATGTTTGTTACCAAGATGGGAAGAGAGACGAGCATGGGGTAGTATTTTCCTAGAAGCTACCTTTAGTAAGTAGATTACAGAAGTCGCTTAATACCGATTGGTAGTTTTAGAACTGCTGTAATGGCATTTGTTTAATGACACCTCTCCGGAATTACCTTTTCCAATTCATCACATTCATTCATCTTGTTTCATAAATACATTTCAATCATACGAGACTTGTCCTGAATGTACAGCATGTAAAGTGTTCTAAAATATACTTTTTTAATAATTCCAGTATAACACAGTTCACACAATAATCACTACAATGGGCTACATAAAGCATAAAACTAATTAAGACTTTATGCACATTAAACTTGATTAAATAAATTGTCTCCCATCACTGTACATTAAGAATACTGTCGGAATTGTTCAATGGATTATATAGCAATAGTAGAGAATGCATTGATTATAGAAATGGTTGTATGACCTGTATTTACTTTGGCTCCCTCGTTCTTCACGCCGGACTCGCATGTGGGAAGCAAGATTTTGTTTTCAAATTTCGAAACGGTTTAAATAATTGCATCAGCCAAAGGAAGACAAGATGACTTCAAACCTTCCATACTCATGGTTAAAGACGCGTGTCCATGTTTAGTTTATGCTGTCATAACACACCCTGTTACAGATGCAGTCCATCAGCAATGCTATGATAACATTCTGCCAATGTGACAGGCACCTAAATCTATATGCTATCTGTACAATAATGACAATGTACAGTCAAAGCTTTTGCAATGTGTCCACATACCACAGTACTGATCCGTACCTACATAGCCACCTGTAGCCTTACCATTCTACACTTACCCTTTTCCCGTGTCCTCTAAACATAACACTCAATCGCTTTCCATACCTTCAGTTGCATATTCCTCTTTTACAGGTTACACAACACCAAATGTTTTCCCATAGACTTCTCTAGTAGCCTTATATTTTTTTAAAAATAATCCAGGCTATCAACAGCCATTCCATGTGCACATGGGTACACTCTGGCCTTTAAACTACCATAAAAACACACTATCTGGCCAACTTGTCCTGCTCGTTTTGCGAGCACAGGAAGCGGAACACATCAACCCCAGATCCGCACCAAATGTCACCTACTGGAAAATATCTGTACACACAATAAGCATAAGTCATGGTGATGAAAATCACAGCACTGAATATTTAAAATTGTGGTCAGTTTTAATTACTGGTTGGATATGCTTTTAAAAAACATAAACATCTTACACTATTTCATCCAATCACAGCTGTCACATGTCTTTATCTCTTCATTTGTTTACATACGCATCTCGCTCAGTGAGCAAGCGATTCTCATTTAGTGTAGTATAACCTGTAGAAAAATTTAGAAACATTTGCCCTAGGCAAATCTGTGACTTATGTACTGTATATACATGCAACTTCTCAGAAAAAATATAAAACTGCATGAAGCTTCAATACTTTTTCCTGTCCAACATATCTATATGGCACAAGAATATATGGATTTGCTGCACTGACAGAGCTGTAAGAGTTATATCATGTCTATTTCACCAAAGCTATACAAAATGCACTTCTGCATTAATAGAGAAAGTTTTTAAATCATACATATACCATGGGAGTTTACTCTTATTTCACAAAAAAGGGGGGCCATGGGTTAATTCCATGCATGACTGGGACTGCCTTGATCATATCAATTCAAACTATATTTTGAACGACAAAAATCATTGAATTCAGGCCAGAAATTGGACAGGTTTAACATTAAGCAGCTTTAACATCCTGACATATGTAAGGCTGGATGATGAACTTTGCCAGAATGTAATAAGTGAGGGGTTGGATTATGCCTAGCAGTCTGAAACACTGACCACAGTACCCTGCCGCCTGTTAGTCGATCAAGGCAAATGACCCTTTCAACAGATGAAATCACTTTTAGACCACAGCATGATAAGAACTTACACTTGAATCTATTGATTCATCAAGCTAAGACTTTGAAATACTTCCAGAAATTCAAAACTATTGACTGTTTATTGTTTTGAGGCTGTTACACTTGCCAATTTCATGTATAAGCCAGTTTAGAGGAACAAAGTGAAAAAATCCACATAACTTTGAAATTGATTGGTTACCCTGCCCTAAACTGAATATTTTAATTACAATTAACAGTATTTAACAATATCAGCTAAAAACAGAGCTTCTGCAGTAATTTATGGGTTACTGGGTTAGAGAAAGACACAATGTATTTGGGTAAACAGGGGAGATAATTTTAAGATATCGAACACTCTCATATCAATAAAATGTGAATTCAGACCCATAATATTACATTCCACAAGGGTCAGTTGTTATTATTTACATCTAAGCAGCTTCTGGGATTGATGTACAGCCCTTATTTCATGTCTGGGAAGCTGAAATACTACACACTGAGGCATTAAGGGGACACTGTCAGAAATTTCTAATGTATGAGGATGACCGAGTGATGGAATTTGGTAGTGAGACATTTTGGTGCCTTAACTGGACTGGGACACTTAAATGTACTATATGTACCTACATGTCCAAGTACTGCAACTTCTACAAGGCGGTGAAGCATATCGAAGCAAAGGGAGTATGCTTGATTAGACACTGCCAAAACAGACTTCGGCCGGCATGTCGAAATACCACATTGGATGTGAAGGCTTCTTTTTCTGCTGTATTTGTGAAGATACACCTCCCCATTCACCAACAGGCATTCTACAAGCTGAAAATAGTGTTGAGATTACATTAAATGTCAAATCATAAAATCTATAACAGCAATGAGACAGTTGTTAATAAAACAGAAATTCATTTTGAAAGTCCTATGGGTGAAAAAAGGGGTATATTTTTAAAAAAGGAAAAGAAAATTAGGTCGTTGCATATTCAAAAGGGGACAGGCAGAAAGAATTGATCATATGCTACACTGTTTGCATTTAAAACAAGGGTTTGTGACATGTTCTGCTGTCAGCAGTGAACAAATTTCATGATATTCTTATCATTTGACTTCAAATTGACCCTCAGGAGATTAAATTAGACACTCACATTGTTGTGGCAGTGGTGATTTTAACCTAATTTGTTGTCAAATTCATCAGTTCCAACAAATTTAGAAGCCAGGGAACCACTACTTGATGGTAAGACTCACCGTGAGGGTCTTTTCCCACTGTTCGGCCACAAAACGAAGCAACGTTCATATTCTGGACACTAAAACAATCTATTCCACTGAAAACAGCCCTATCTTTACTCCCAGTACCTTTAAATTTGCCTCTACATTAATGCTAACATGTTTCCATGGTGAAATAAACACAGGAAATCATGTAAAGTATGAATTACTGAAAAGTGCTCGAACCCTACAGGTTACACAACACCAAATGTTTTCCCATAGACTTCTCTAGTAGCCTTATATTTTTTTAAAAATAATCCAGGCTATCAACAGCCATTCCATGTGCACATGGGTACACTCTGGCCTTTAAACTACCATAAAAACACACTATCTGGCCAACTTGTCCTGCTCGTTTTGCGAGCACAGGAAGCGGAACACATCAACCCCAGATCCGCACCAAATGTCACCTACTGGAAAATATCTGTACACACAATAAGCATAAGTCATGGTGATGAAAATCACAGCACTGAATACTTAAAATTGTGGTCAGTTTTAATTACTGGTTGGATATGCTTTTAAAAAACATAAACATCTTACACTATTTCATCCAATCACAGCTGTCACATGTCTTTATCTCTTCATTTGTTTACATACGCATCTCGCTCAGTGAGCAAGCGATTCTCATTTAGTGTAGTATAACCTGTACAGTATTTATGATATGCGAAGACCATAAAAGAGCTGCTATCTCGTTTCCATGTATTGAATGAAATACTTCTTCCTGGACGAAATTCAGTTTACTGTGACATGCGAGTGCACCATCTGTGAAAGGCATATTTCATCTACCGATTACACGGCATATGGAGCAGTTAAAATCTCTTCTTGACAAGGAACAATTTCTACAGAGACTTTCAAACTGTGTTTTACTTTAGTGCATCATGGGTGCTTCAATCAAATCTCGAGAAGCACGTACATAATGAGTATTGATGCTAGGTTAATTATGGAATGTATGATGAGAGCGATGCATATTGACATGACAACTCTTTGTCAATTCGTAACCACAG